GGTTGGTTGGTTGGTTTAGGGTTTTGGTTCAGCGGTTTCGGGTTTAGCTGTTTAGGTTTTGGGTGTAGGGCCTGGGTTTTGGGGTTCTGGTGCTTCGGGTGACTGTATCATAGCTTACACTACTTGGATCAAAGCCTACGGCTCATGTCCTAAACCCTAAATCCTAAACTCCCCGCGGTTCGGGGATCTTGGGGATTTTAGTCTTTCGGGCTTGAGGGCGGAAGTCCTTGAAGGTGCAGGGCTTCCGCGTTTAGAGTTTATGGATTAGGGTTCAGAGCTTAGGGATTAGGGTTTGGGGATTAATTAGGGTTTAGAGTTTAGGGACTAGGGTTTAGAGTTTAGGGTAGGAGCAATGGCTGCGGGCGACACCCAACTAAATTAACTAAATCCTAAACCCTAAACCCTAAACCCTAAACCCTAAACTAAATCCTGCTCGGAGGATCCAAGCTCAGGGAGATCTGCGGGACGGAATCAACAGAAAAAGTTCTCAGAGAGCCTGTCTTTTACATTTGGGAGTTTCCGAAAATAAGGGGTGCCTTATGCTGGGGTCCTTATAATAAGGATCCTACTATTCGGGGTACTATATTAGGGTCCCCTATTTTCGGAAACCCCCATTTACTACTACTTCAATGTACCCACCCAGTCCCTATTCCAGGCCCTTATACTGAACACGAGACCGTAGACCGTCGAACCGTTAGTCTGAAGACCTCCTACTTTAGGGTTTAGGGTTTCTAAACCCTAAACCCTAGACCCTACAAGATTAGCATGGCCCCTGCGCAAGGATGACACGCACAAACCGAGAAGTGTACCAAAACCCTTATAGGGTTTAGGGTCGAGGCCCCTGTGTTTTATCTCTCCGAGGAACGGCGATTCAATCCACGAAGCCTTCCGAATCTTGGCCATCCAAGCTAAGTGTCTCTGATATGCTTCAACCCTTGCTACGCCCCTGCGGGACACCGGTTGATGCTAAATGCCGTTCCACCCTATACCCACGACCGCTAAACCCCTCACCCAGAAACCCCCTTAAACTAACCTTACGCCCGATTGTAAGTTCAGTTTACGGTCTAGGGTTTAGGAACCCTAAACCCCAAACCCTAAAGCCTAAAACCTAAGTACCTTAACCGAAGCCCACAGTTCTCTTAAACCAACACCGGGCTTTAGATTGCGGCTTAAGGCGTAGAGTTTTGGGATTGGGGTTTGGGTTTTAAGGTTTAGGGTTAAGGGCTTTAGGGTTTAGGGTTTAGGATTTGAAGGTCTAGGGTTTAGGGTTTAGGGTTTAAGGTTTAGGTAGACAAAACCTCTGTAGAACGTGCCCCTGTCTCCGCTCTGCCGGAGAGCGATCGCAATGAGGGTATGCTCTGAGGTCGTGTAGGGTTCTTGAGGCCGTGCTTGATCGGGTTGGCACAGGATTACGATAGGGTTCGGAAGAATTCGTGCGGGGACGTGGCTTTGCAGTTCCTTTTTGACAACATACTTTTTCACCGGAACCCTTTTCTCTAAGATTTTGGGTTTTGGGGGCATTAGGTTTTGAACTGGAAGGTTTAGGGCTTTGGATGTACAGATTGAAAGACCTGAAATGCTAATTTTGTGATTCCGCATCATCTTTGCAGTGTAAGTCTACAGAAAGCGGCGCTTCCAGCTACGGCCAGTAGGCACCGCCATTCCGCGTGCGAAACGGCCACATGCGAGCCCGAAAGGCAACAGTCAGAGTGCGTCGATCCAATATCTCAGCATTGTTCCCTAGGTTGGTGAGTATAGCCAACAGCCATACGATACGATCCACAAAACCTCAGCCCTAAACCCTTCACCCTAAGAGCTAGTCACACATGTGGGCCTCTAAACCCTAAACCCTAAACCCTAAACCCTAAATCCTAAACCCTAAACCCTAAACCCTACATTCTAAACCTTGCAGGATGAGGGCTGTCGTGTCAAAGCATCGTAGCTGGTGCTGAGACATGCCACAGCTGCAATTCAATGCAGCCGAGCTGCAGAATATAGGGGCGTTAATAATTACACCAGGGTCTTGGGGCCCGTTATGCTAGAAGTATAATAAGGATTTTTCAAACTAGTATAGGTAATTATTTAGGCCCCTACATAAACTTGCAGTAGCAGGCTTTAGCTTTTCATACTTGCTTGGATGAGGCACGACGACCACCACCATGACCATTCGACCTCGTCCCGCGCCCAGCATGCGGGAAGGATATCGGGTGTCTGGGGTACCAGGCGGTCCTGAAAACATTGATACTACTATTTAATGTCTTAAATTCCCAGAAACCCTAAACCCTATAAGCCCTAAACCCTAAACCTGTATACAGTCTAGACCTCAAGTTCTAACACCCTAAGCAGTCTTAGACTGTCATGCAAGTGGGGCAGGCTAAGGGCGCACCACACCAGAACAGAAAACTGAGTGGAGAACCCTTCGGGTTGGGGTGCTTAAGGTTGCTTTGCGACTTCTTAAGTATGGGTTTACGGCCATGAGTGCCTGCAGTAGGTAGTTACCCCAAGTCTAACTCATTCATGGGCCTACTTACTCGCTCCCCAGATCTTTGAAGTAAGTCTTAAGGGACTGGGGGCTGCTAAATCCTAGATGCGAATCTGCGTAGCTAGCCCGTGAATGAATCCCCGAAGGCCGTGGTAAGGAACCAGAGTTCAGCCGCCCAACAAGACCCGACACTCCAGCCCCTGAATCCTAAACTCGAAACCGTCAGTTCAGCGATGATGACTATTGCGGTGGCGACGACTGCCACGGCTAGTGCTCCGGCTCCTGCTGCAGCTACTGCTGCTGCTACTGTCCTGCTGCTCCTGCTCCGGCTCCTTCTCCGGCTCCGGCTCCGGCTCCTGCTGCTGCTACTGCTACTGCTGCTACTGCTGCTACTGCTGCTGCTGCTAGTGCGTCTTCAGGTTCAACGCAGTAGTACCCGAGTCGTCGAAGCATAAACTGTAGATCTATCAGAAACCTGCGTGTAAACCCTCAGGACTCAGAAACTACCCTAGTCCTGGAGCTTCAACTCTGCAACGCCAACCCTCTACACCCAAAGCCGGCAAGCGCTTATAGGACTGTTATGGAACTATCACAGAACCGTATAAACCTTTGCAGAACCCGTATAGACCCGTTATAGAACCCTTAAGAAGCTGAAGCCCAGAAGGCCTACAATCCCTTGAGCCCAAACGCCCCCAACCCTGAACCCCGAAATCCAAAATCCTAAACTCTAGGGTTTATGGGCAGGGGTGATGACGACGGCGATATGTTCGGCCTCGGGGGCGAGTGGCTTGGACCAGCCTGGAGATCTGGTAGCAGTGGTAGTGGTAGTAGCGACGCTAGTGGCGGCAGTGGTAGTGGTAGTGGTAGTGGTAGTTGTAGTGGTGGTAGTAGTAGTAGTAGTAGTAGTGGTAGTGGAAGTTGAAGTGGTAGTGGTAGTAGAAGTGGTAGTGGTAGTCGTAGTGGCGGTAGTCGTAGTAGTCGTAGTAGTAGTGGCGGTAGTGCTAGTACTTGTACTTGTGCTAGTAATAATACCAGTAGTAGGATCTGCGAAATCGTGTCGACACTTGCATCCAAGGTTCGTAGTGGTGAAGGGCAACGACAAGAAAGGTATCGGACAAATCTGCGCCATGTGGCATCTGGACGACTCCTCAAGGTCCACGGTCTATGTTCGTCATTGCGACAGGTGGGGACTGTCAGCATGAGAAGTTCCCAGCAAATCCTAAACTCTAACGTGGTGCAGGTATCTGCCATTTGCCAGCCAGCGCTCTTGCGTGAACGCAGTCTTCCACCTTGAGCGGAAAGGCGCCAACCCCGGGTTTTGATTTTTCAGGCAGTGCGAGATTAGCATGACACGGACTGGTCGATCCACAGTACCGCTCAGAGTCACGAAGCGCTGTTGCCTAGCGAGGTGAATACTACTTTCATGGCAAGCTGCTCATGGTCTTTCTGGTGAACATCCTCAGCCTGTGCGTCTTCGCAATTTCATTGGAGGATGTTAGTGGACGATTGCGGCATCTGAGCAGGTGTTTTCTTGCCGTCCTGGCATACCGCTACGTCATCGATGGAACATTGCCCCGGAAAGAATACCTCACAGGTGCTGACGCATACATTGTACTTGCTTGCAGCTTCCAAGTCCTCCTTGTCATTGAGACGGTTCTCTTTCACAAGTTTCTCACCATCTTTCTGCAAGACCCTATCTTGGTTGACAGGTATGTTGGGCTGTCTCTTCTGCTGGTATGGTGCAGTGTGAACTGTCTGTTGCGTTGGCTGTGGCAGCATGACACCGGCAGGAGCAACTGGGAAATCTGGGAAGCGATCTACAAGAAAGGTCGTGAACCATATGCGCCGATCAATCGGTGCTCAGACTGTGGGGAGATGTGGCTAAGCAAGCAATGCGAGCACTCGAGCAAAAGGAAGCAGTGCATCAATTGGCCGGATTGTTTTGGTGAGAACACTGGAGCAACAGAAAGCATCGCGACTATCTACAAAACTCCTTTGCACCCAATTCCGGCTATCGTGGAGCCACAAGCCTTCCCGAGACCACCACCTCACTTGAAGGAGCTTGCAGAAACCCGAAAGTGAGCCCAAAGTGCCCAGTATTCGTGGGAAATATGGCCTGATTGGGCCATGCGGCAAAGGCCGCGGACTGACTGCTCGCATCTTGAAAGGATCCAAATGGGGATTCATTGTGGCAGCGTGGCCCGGCAAGCCAACCTATAGCACTCCCGTGGTCGTGCCATGTATCACAGGCACTTGTTTCCTGACGTCCAGCTGATTGTGCAACACCACAAACAGTGTTCTCCCATGTTCTCACTTAAGGCGTGGTGTTTTCTTTTTTCCACATTGCTCTGAAAACCATTGCGGCAATCCTATACAGCAACTTTGCCTTTCACAAGTTTCCGGTGGTAAAGCTTTCGGGGGCCTGGGTATGTTCAGGGCTTCATAAGGATTGACAGGTTTTTTTTGAGGGTTGTAGGATCACAGGACGCAGCAAGTAGGGTTACAAGTAGGTAACCACTTACGACCCAATGTAAGTTATGTATAGCCCTGCAGTACGGTTCAGGATCCAAGGGTTCTGGTATCAGGGATCGGCTTCGTGGTTTAGATTGTTACTGAAAGCTGATTCGACTCTGCTGATATAGCTTCATCTCGTTCTTGATGGCTTTCGTGGAGGAAGGCCTTTGTCGGTGATCTATGTGGCTGGCTGCTTCACTAAACTATTCAGCGGGTCCGCCTTGTTGGATCTTCGGATGTCCCGGCGGTCGTCATTCAAGCCACAGTGAAGCAGGATAGTTTTGGAGTTGCACTGTCATAGGTCTTCAGTGAATCTCTACAGAGCAACACTGCGACCGTTTGACCTGCCCAAAATCCAAAACACTGAACAATGAACGCCGGACCTGGGGCAGGCCATTTGCGTGGATTCAGCGCAGGAAGGCGGAGTCCAGGCGCGAGATCGTATTGGAAAGGGGCTACATTCATTGTCGCTTTGTTGCGAGCTGACATAGGAATAAAGACATCATTGGCTGATCTCCAGTTGTTGCCTGTCCTCATTGAACTGCCCCTGTGTGGAACGACAGCTTTTGCTGGTCAGCATGTCTTTCCTCGCCGCGGCAGCTGGTGTTGTCTCGCAGCCCATTTTTCAGCAGCACAGGCACCCCCAGTGCCTGGATGCAGAGTTTTGATGGCCCTGTTAGATCATACTCGTGGGCCGGCCACGTGGGCATTTATCAAGCCATGATGGCTACTGCTATCTCATCGCACGACATATGTATGTATGTGTGCATGTATGTATGTATGTATGTATGTATGTATGTATGTATGTATTTATGTATGTATGTATGTATGTATATTATATATATATATATACACATGTACGTATGTACGTATGTATGTATGTATGTATGTATGTATGTATGTATGTATGTATGCATGTATGCGTACATACATACACATACATTGCAGGCAAAAACAAGTTTTCACGAATGTACGTGCACAAATCTGTCAGTCTGCATTTGTCGTTTGATTATGGACGTCCTTGTTTAGGACACCGAAAGCCGCTACGGAGAAGTCAAGACATCGCTTTTCGCCATGCCGGGGTCGGAAGAGAAGGCTGACGAGAACGGCCACACCCTTATGAAGAAGGCAGAAGAAGACGAGGTCATCGAAGATGAGTTCAATATTCACTCAACAGTCGGCCTGGTCTCTGCGCTGCTTCTGTCCTGCCTCGCCTCGACGGTGAGCGATTCCAAAGACCTCAAAGACTTTGCAGAGGAGCGTGACCGCAGATGGGAGTTGCAGGCCGAGGGAGTTTCCATCTTCGACGTATACCAGGCCCTGATTTTCGTTTGCATGTCCTGCAACTCGGTGTTAACAACAGTCAACTTCACACCTGCATCCGTCACATCCGACCACGTTAGCCTGTGAATGCTTGTTAAACGTCGGATCCGAGGCAATGTGCTTGCCATCATGACAGCGATTGCGCGCCTTATTGCTTTTCAGCGAGTTTCGAAGTCTGATGCCCCGGAGTTTCAGAGGATAATGGGAGCAGGACGGGTGGGATGGTGCACAGGTGCACTGCCAGTTGCGGCAATGGCAGTTGGTGTTATCTCTTATATTCTGGTGATGCTGGTTCAAGGGTACCTAGTGATGCACATGAAGACCTTTTGGTTCTGTGTGGCGACCATAACAGTCTGCATCATTCTCTGGGCAAGCCACGAAGTCTGGATCATCCTGGCAAAACGAGCTGTGAATCACCCTGAACTCCTGAAGCTTACTTGTGCGGATGCGCCGCAGGATAGCGAGTATGAAGAGCTCGATAGCTCATAGCATTCTTCATAGATTAAGTTCTGCAGCCCGCGTGTGAACGACCAGTTTTGAAGGAGTACCCGTGCTGTCGAAAACACTGCGGGCCAGTATCTTCAGTTGCCGACCATGCTTGGTTCTCATTAATTCTCCCTTCCGTTTTCCAAGCTGAGGATCCAGAGGAGTGGTAGATAGGTTGCCGCAGAAAGCAACTTGTCCTGCGAAAAGGGCGCGTTCCTAGTCCAGAACTCTTGAGCTCAAAAGCCCAAAGCCTGAACCTGAAACCCAAACCGCCGCATGTCGCAAGGCAAACAGCCTCGACCCCTGAATCCCCAAATTATCCCAAGCTGATTTTCTAGCCCAAGCCCTTACCCCGATCCGCACTCGATTTTTTCCTGTAAATAATTTGCTTCTGGGTTGTTTTCCAGCATAGGAAGGTTCGGGAAGGTGTTCACAACAAGTCCTTCGGCAGGGGCCTTGAGATTGAAACGACTCTCAAGCAGAGCACAACTTATGTGATGTGATACTAACTTCTCCCACAACGGCCATAAGTCCCTTAGGGCTTTCGACCTGCCAGAGCCCTGAATGTGTGCAGCCAGAGGTCGTATCAAGTGGACGAGTTCTCCGTGCTTTGTCTCAAGCTTTTGCGACAGGGGAGAAAGGGGCTTTCAACAGGCTCGCTAGGAACATGGTGGGACGATCCCTCACGCTGAAGCCGTCCAAAACTGCAAGCAACCTCGAGCTGGAGATCCCATCTTACTATGGCATCTGTGTCGCAATTCATGAAATCAACCTCAGTGGTGGCAGTGGCAAGAGCCGAAAACCATGTTTCACGTAGTCGCAGCTGCCTGAACCCTGACACCTCAGGTATCCGCAGTGGATGGATGGCCGTTGGTGTTGTCTTCATTTCTGGCTTCTCCCTGATGGGTTACACAGGCCCATTCCTTTGTTGGGTTTCTAACAAGCCTAAGACCCGAAAACACAGAACTCCGAATGCCGCATGCCCAATCCCCAACTCCTCGGCCCTTAGTCGTCACGAATGTCGTAATCGTCCTCAGCAGAGATGAAACTACAGCAATAGGATCAGCAGCGCGGCGCGCTAGCTAGTGGGGTGGTGGTCCTTGTAGTATTTGTTGCGCAGCACCGACAGGCAAGATCATCTATGACAACGCTCCTCCCATTCCGACCTTTCGGCTGGAGGGCGATCACGGGGCGGTCCTGTGGACAAGCGAGGACGTTATAGTGACTTAGGGCTTTCTGGCGTTGTGGGTCCCTGTTTAGGGCCCTTCGGAGCTTTTGGGTGGTGTTCTGAGTCCCCTGGCCGAGCAAGGACGTTCTGGAGGGGCAGCAGATGCTTGCCTTCTCGACAGTACAGCGTTGCTTCGTTTTAGTCAGCGGTTAGCACTGATTGTAAGCTGCTCTGCTTAACGTCGGTCTCTCCTCTCCGCTCAAACCCTAAAACCTAAACCCTAAACCGTCACTCACAGCTTTTGCTGTGATCTGTACGACTCGTGCTTTCTTCGATCGCCCATCCGCAGACTCGAGACTCGAAGCTCGAAGCCCTAAACCAAAGCCCCAGACCCCGAATCAACCTTCCCCCTTTTTTTTTATACTTCGCACGTCGGTGAGGATCTGGCAGTCCATCGGAGGTCAGCAGATGGGTTCTGTCTGGGGCCATGGGGCCTTGCAGGCCCCGGACGCCTTGCAAAGCTGAAACCGTGTCTTGTGCTTCAGCGCCTAGCTGTCTAGGGTAAGTAAGGGTAAACCTTGGACTTGCATCCTAAAGCCTAGAGATTGCAGCCTCGGGTTCCTGATTTCAGGCTCCAGATTGGTCAGCGGACTGGCTACATCGGGAGGCAGGGAAGACGACGGCTTTTGAGGATTTTGTTTGGTTTTGGTTCCTTCTGGGATTTAAGGTGTCAGTTTCGCGCTGGCTTCTTCTTGGCAACCCAAGGAAAACCTTTCACGCTGCCCCGGAAGATTTGCAAAACCCGAAGCGGGGGCCTCCGGCAGAAGGCAGCGATGACCCTGGAGCTGATGGGATCGGACAAAGCGAGCTACATCCAGCGGACCGATTGAGTTCAGTGCCATTGGGTTTAGGGTTTGGGCTTCAGTTTTTTTCAGTCTCGGGTTCTAGACTTTATGTGGCCTTCAGTGTGCTCAGACGGAGACAGACACCAGGATGCATCAGTTCGCAAATTAGCGAGAATCAGATGCACGCCTTCATCTGACAATCTACTTCACCTTCATCTTGACAATCTGTTCCACTGAATCTGGCTGGCTATCTAGCTGTGCTGAAAATCCATGCAGTAAACAGCAGATCTAACAACATGTACGCACACACACAAACACAGCATGTGTGCTCTCACATAAGCACGTATTTTCACATGTTCATACGTCTACGCATACATGCGTACACTGAACTTGCCCAGTTCCATGCGACAAGTGGTTTCAAGCCCCCCAGAAAAAACTTGTATGCTCGTATGTATTCACATATATGTATGTTGGCATGCACGCATGCATGCATGTATGTCAAAGTCTGCCTGCCTGTCCGTCTGTCTTTCCGTCTGGCTTCGTGCTTGCATACATGCGCACATACATGCGTGTGTGCAGGTTGTGAGCTCTCGCACATTTACGTGTGTGGTTGCATGTTCGCTGTAAGCATGTTCACATTTGTGGAAAGATCCGTGCATCTAAGAAAAAGCACGAACATCTCCTTAGAGCTCTCTGACATAACTCTTATAAAATACCCCCCTCCACAACAAACCAAAAAAGCGCGGGCTCCTGTGCCAGACCCCCTCAACCCCAAACCCTAAACCGAGGCATGTGCGCAAAAACACCTACGACCCCGAGACCAACGAGGTTCGGATCGGTCATGAGAGGGCAAAGGCCTGGCCGGGGCATGCGGAAAGCTTTCGCCTTGTGACAGGAAGAGGTCTAGAGTTTAGGGTGTGGGGTTTCTATGGATACTAGAAGGGTGCTATAAGGTTACTGTAGGGTGCTACGAGTTCAGGGTTGAGGGTTTCTAGGAATACGGCGAGGCTACTATAAGGAGGCTGCTATAGGGTCCTATGAGTTTAGGGCTTAGGCTTTTTGTCCAGGTGGGTTAGAAGTCGTGCCTTGCATTTCCCCGGTCGCATGGGATGGAAGATGTTTCAGGCCTAGCTGAAGGAACTCCCCAAGGCTCCATGCGCCCGTAGAGTATATACCCTAGATTTTTTGAGCTTAGGGATCTGTTCGCTTTGAACCGTCAGCCACACAGGTAGATTGTGGACAACCCTTGAAACACCTGCGAAAGCTGCAGCTTTCCGACTGCCGAATGCTTACTCAAAGATCTGTAAAAAGCCAGCCCTAAATCCTAAACCCTAAACCCTAAAGGGTTTGGGGGGCAGGCAGGTAGGGTTTAGGGTCCAGCCGGCCACGTGCTGAAACGAGCGCTTTGAGGCCTCCCCACCTGAATCCGAAAAAAGCCCTTTTAAAGCTTGGAGTTCAAGCCCAAGCCCAAGCCCAAATCCCAAACCCCCAAACCCCAGTCATTCCCCAAACCCCAAACGCTAAACCCTAAAAACCCCTAAAGACACCTAAAAACTTCAAAAAACTCCAACAACCTTTAAAAAACCTGTTAAAACTTTCAAAAACCTCAAAGCCAGATCCCGAACCCTGCCAGGTGCTGCGCAGGCTCACGCGCTTCTACGTGGCGCTCTTCACCGGGGCCTCGGAGTCCCCAGAGGCCCAGCCTGAAGCCCCGCAGTGCCACTGCTTTCCATCGTCAGGGTGATAGAAAATTATAGGAGTTGGAGTTGGGTAGGAGGAGGAGTGGGAGGAGGAGGAGGTAGCAGGTCGCAGTCGCAATCGTGATCCTAAGAGGAAGAGGAAGAGTCAGAGTCAATGGCAATGGTAATAGCACTCGTGGTCGCGGCACCGGTGGATGGTGGTGGCAGTACTAGTGGTGGATTTGGAGCAATTATGCCGAGAGCAGTATGACCTATGTGAGCCACCAGTTGACTTGTGATCACAATAACAGCAATAACATGACTAGTTGCAACCAGCATTAGCAGGAATTGGATTTGATACCCGCGCAACAGCAAAGCGAGAGCCCAAAGCTTGAGTTTACTCAGTATGCCAGAACAGGCTGCGAGCAGCAAAGCACACGACTGCGGTCTGTGTCAGGGTTAAAACTTTGGGACCCTGCGGAGGTCGAGGATCTCCCAAAACTACGGAAGTTGTTCCAGGTCAAGGACGGCGAAAGCGGAGCTTTGTGTTTGAAAGGAGTTGAGACAAGGGGTGCTGAAGGGATAACAGCAGAGGATGGCGGCGTTAGACGACGCTAGCTTCAAGAAAGCCGCAGACGTGACCATGCGAGGACGTGGCATTGTACAGCGAGGAGAAGGCCGAGAAGCTGGCTGGCTTCGTCTTCTGGTCCTCTTGGGCCTGCGTCACAGAGCGGCCGGGTGAGAGCCACACCTACACCAACAATTGGCCCCAGGAGCGCCTGGTGGGCAACACCGTCTCGCCCGAGGTTGGAGGCTTCAAAAACTGCTGAAAGGAACGCAAAAAGAAGCCATCCTAAGCCCAAAGCTCTAGCCTAAAACCCAAAACCTTCAAGGTCCTAACGCCCTAAAGCCCCAAAGCCCTCAAGCCCTAAAGCCCTCGACCAGGCGGTCGTCCCTTACAGTTACAGGTATGGTAACCCTTACAGTAACCTTTTACAGGAGCCTCAGGTCCTAAACCCCAAACCCTAAGCCCCATAAGCCCTGAGCCCTAAACCCAAAACCCCCAAAGCCCTAAAGCCCTAAACCCCATAAACGCCATAAGCCCCACAAACCCCATAAGCCCTAGAGCCCTCAAAGTCTCTTTCCAAGGTGATCGTCTGGTCTTTGGCCTCCCTGGCTCTCCTGGTCTTCGGCATCGGAGCCCTGGCCTGGGTAAGGTCGGTGCACCACAGCGAGCAGGGGCAGCTCCCGGCTCCTTTGGAGGAGGGGGGTCCCTCCCCTTTTTTTTAAAACGGGTCGTGAGGGGTTTAA